CCCCCCCCCCCCCAAAACCTTTGCTAAAATAAAGTTCAGAGAGAGAGGGCCTTTTTAGATAATAAGAACATCCTAATCCTGGATGTCAGTTTACAGATGGTATCAGATGGCAGATATCATTCTTGGTGTCTGGCCACCTTCTTGCAACACAGCTGATTGACTAATATGATCCTGGTCTTGAATCATTGCTTCTCTAGGAATTGCTCCCATTGGTGCTAGCTCTGTCTTTCACCTACTGCCTTGCATTGAGGATGTTATTTTCCTGTACTGCTTTTCCTCCAAATCCACCATCTGACCCATAATGGGTGTGAAAGTACCTCTGGGGTGAATGTTCTTAGATATATTTATTTGTGAGAGTACTGACGGTATTCCAGAAATAATTGCAGGAGATATTCCAAAATAAAAATGAAAAAATCCTACTTGAGCATTTGCATACATGCGGACAAAAGCCAATTAAGTGAAGCAGAGCAGCTCATTCAAAAGAGGGTACTTTTGTACATTATTGTGTCTATTTTACAGGCAGAAAGGTGAAGGTTGCAGACCAGCAATATCAATCTCTCTAAAAGAAAAAACGTGGTATCTACAGATGGTGAGTCTTGCACATAGCATAACAACGTTCTGACCACCACTGCCTTCTGTTACACCCATTTACAATTTAGATTTAGATAGAATGCAAAGTCTTTGGGCAGATCCTCTTAACTAATGTGTATTGCCCTGAAGTAAACTCATTGTTGGAGCTGTACCAGGTGAAGCGCTGCCTTGGGGCCTCTGATTAGGGCCTCCAGGTGCTGATGTAATACAAAGATTAACTAACTTGAGGAAGAACAGATAGTTCAGAGGTTATAGAAGAGGTTAGAAATGTATCCTATATATCTGATATATGCCCATGGAGCTGTATATAAGCTATATATTGTACAGGCAGCTTCAAAAGAGGCTTTTGAATTAGGTGCTGGTTGATAATCTCATCCAGTGTATTTGCTTTCTGGAGAACACCACACAATATGTTGTTTTATTTATCCCCAGCGTGAAGTTACCTTGGAGGTTTGAATAAAAATAGGTGTCTCTGGCTGACAGATCACCTTATGCTCAGAAGGATCACCCTTCCCTCATATTTGGGGAGATGAGAAAAAGAGGGCAGTTTGGAATTAATGTTCTATCTAGATACATGCCTCCACAGCAACCCAGTTTCTAATCTCCTTACAAATGTCAATGAATTTATCATGACAAACATTCTTGTAAAGTAGAAATGTATTATTAGATCCTTTTTACACGCAGGGAAACTGAGGCAGAGAGCCATTAAAGCCTGATTTTTAAAAGATTCAGCAAATGCAGTAGCAAAATCCTAAAATCATTGAGCAAATGAGAGTTTGATTTTTCTAAGATCACAAAGAAAGTTTGTCAGAAATGAGAATTAAACCTGGTCTTTTGAAGTCCCAATACTAAGATAGCCCTTTTTTCCCTTAGGCCTGGCTAGGGGAAGCCAGTATAAGTGATCAGAAACTGGTTTAAACTTGTAACAGAACAGATGTTCAGTGCACATGAGCCAGTTGGAAAATGGCTGAAACCAGTTTGAGATAAACCTGATCGAATGTAGTATCAGACTTAACTGAATTGGCTCAAACCAGTTATTCAATGTCTGTCCCTGACCCTAGTGAACTCTGTGGGGTGCAGAGGTGGGACAGGGGGTGGTGAAGGGAGAGGATGGCTTGGGTTACACAGAGCTCTTTACAGCACTAAGTTCTTAGTGCTCCAGAGTAGAAAATAAAGTATCATAACAAATATTTGCAAGACCCTTAAACCACCAACACTTAGAACAGAACTTGAGCACATTTCTTCAGACTTCCTTTAGTCTGGTGCATGAAAGTACCCACAAAATTGCCCCTAACTACTTGAAGGCAAGGGGAAAAGAGAGTGCACATATGATAAAAGAACAAGAGAACTCTCACCTCTGCTGCTGAGCGTATTACACTAATTCTGGATGAATGATGCTCCTTGATGCTCCAGGTTGCTGAACTGCGTGGCTCCCTGCTGCATTGAGAAGTGTGAAAACTGAGCTGGGTTTCTCGGAGTTCGATGTTCCTTCTGCCCTGCTCCGCCCCTCCTCTCCTTACTGTTACTAGCAGCTCACTTAGGGCCAACCTTATTCCAGTGATTAATAAATGACTAAGAGAAAACACTAATACAAACACAAACCCAATTATCCAGCTGTCCTGCCTCAAGGAAGATCTTGGAGATAGCAGCTTCTTGTGTATATTTCTATCCTCTTGATGGCACACACCTTGGACTCCCTGTATTCTGGTTATGCCAGTTATCAGGAGAATGTAGCCATACAAGTTGTTTCAGCTTGTCATCCCAGAATCAGCCTGTTCTGCATCCCTCAGCAAGGTGCATTTCTAGGCTGAGTGGGCTGGTGAGGTAGCAGAGAAGGCTGAAGCATTGCTGTCACCTCAGTGCTGCTGCAGTAAGAACGAGGATGGAGAGAGCGATGCCTGTTCCCCTCCCCCAGCTACCAGCCCTTAATACAAGCCCCTCATGATATGAAGCAGGGGAATGACTTCTGTCGTAAGTCAGGGAACCCCCGGGCAGCTGACATCCACCAGCACGGTAAGCGCGGTCTAGCGTAAAATTCCCAGGGAGGTTTATATGCTTTCAGACATCCATCTGCAGGCTACTGCAACAGTAAGGGAAAAAAAAAAACCCATACACACAACCCACTGCACATTAGAAACACTGCAGTCAGATAACTAAACACCAGCCTGTGAAGCAAGCCAAGTATTGCTACTGTGTGTTTGCTGTCAGTTAAATATCTTCAAAAATAGTCAAGCTTTTGTGTGGAACAAAGGAAAAACAACAGTGATGTGTATCATGAAGGATGCAAACCTCACATCAGGCTGATTTGCCTGCTTGTAGGATGGATGTACCTTTTACATAGCAAAGGAAACAGAAGACTTTTAAAAGCAGCTATGTTCGGCAAAGGAAGGTGATGGATATCTAAATGCAGACTGAGAATGCACAGGCAGTATGGTCTGATGGGGGAGCCGTATTGCAGTTTAGCTGTGGCTGTGTACAGCAACAAAGGGCTTTCCCCAGGCAGCATATTGTTTCCGAGGAGAGAGGCTTCTGCTGTTTACCTACCTCAGCATTTTTCTTCACAGATTTACCTCTTCATTAGAGTCCCGTATCTGCTCTCTGCTCTGGGGAGGGGCAGTGAGTGCTGACTCCCTACTCCACACCAGTGTTGATTTAAACATATCTGATGCAGGGGAGGGTGTGTTTTTGGCTCCAGTTCCCTGCAACTACTGCCTGAGCCAGCTTGTGGAGGACTGGATGGGTAGTGGGGGGCGCTGTGGAGGCTTCCCTCTGCCATCACTGCTAATGCTGAGTCCTAAGGTTGCTTGGAGGTACATGGCATGCAGAATATTGGAATTCGTAGGGCCATGTATGGCAATTTTCTTGACCATTTTTGTATTCACCTCAGTAATACTACAGTATATTATTTCATTATTATAAAGGAGGAATGAAGGAAGGAGGCAGACACAGTAAGCCCCTAGGCTCCCTCAGGCATGTATAGATTGGTGGTGATGGGGGGGTGGAGGGGTGGGGAGAGGAGCTAAGTGAAAGCATTTACCTCTGGCAGGGGAGGGAATGGAGTAACACAGCTTCTATAGGGACTTTCATCTACAAAAAGCCACTGTCATTAATTCCAGTACGAGAAACTGAGATTTTAAAAAATTAAAAAAAAAAAATTTTGTGCGCCAGGCCAAATTAGCCAAATCAGTTCTGAATTTTATTGACTGAGTAGAACTGAGTAGAAGTCTGCGTGGTGCTACCACCAGCAAGACTCTTCAGTCTGGGGCTTCAGATACTCCCAAATCCATGGCTGGCACTCTACATGCAGGCCCCAGCCTGGAAGTCTTGGAGTTTGGATGCCCCCAAATCTCACTTGCCCTTAGGCCAAAGACAAAAGGAGCAAGCTAGGAACAAATCTCTCAGTTCCATAAAACAGATGTGTAGCTGAGATCCTCCCATTGGGAGGCTATAATAGACTCTTATAGGGGGTCTAGTCCATGGTGCATTGGACAGGTCTCCACCCTCTACTACACAACACCATTCAAGGTGATGTTGGCCTCTTGTCCTCTGCCGATGGGATCCTTGGCCCAAGGTGGTGTTGGCCAGTGCAGCCCAGAAAATGCACTTGATCTTAGTCCGCAAGAGGCTGAGAAGTACTGAGAAACACCAGCTACTGTCATGTCCTTCCTGCCCCTGACTGTGGCACAGAATACTGAAGGGAGTAGAGGAAGACAGCACTTAAGCTATTTAGGCTAAGGACAGACATTCAAAAAGCCTGAGCCTGAATTGATTCAATCTTTGCAGGTTAGTCTAAGCTGGCTAGGCTGAACTGGTTGGAAACTGGACAGACATTTTCTCTGGATTGAGGAAATTCAGGCACATGTCTGCAGTGGCTCAGGCTAGAAGCCAGGGGGTGCAAGAGCAGCTTTCCCTTTCCTTGCAGAGCACTAAGCTGGGTGCGGGGGCAGTTGTGGCCAGGCGCCCAGTAGGACCTCTGATTAGGGAGGTCTGCCTGCACAGTCCCAGGCTTTTCCCTGCTGGCTGCTCAAGGGGTGGGAGCCCTCTGCTAGCACTCTGAGGCAAGGTGGGGTGTGCAGTGCATGCATCTGTTGAGGATATGGAGCTTTTCAATGCCCCTCCCTGCTTCTTTATACTGTCTGCAGCAAATAAGCCATCGGGGGCTGATAACAGTGATTATCGCCTCATCAGCAAAACAATAGGGTCCCTCCATTACTTCAAACTCTTCTTAAACAGCTTACTGGCTGACCTGTTGATTAGCTCCAAATAGCCCTAAGCAGTCACTGTTCTGTCTGCCTGTCCCAGTGAAACTGGAGAGAAACAGACACATAGAAACTAGGGGTGTGCAAAATGGGTCATATTTGCTTTGGATTTGGCCCAAACTGGGGACAGAGACTCAATTTATTGATTTGGATCACTGTCCCTGATTTGATATGGCTGAATACAAATCTGAAGATTCGATGCTGATTTGGAGAATCAGCGATTTGGCTATAGAACAGCTTTAAATGTTTTTTCTACATACCTCAAGGTACCAGGTGCCACATGAATGCTGTGAAGCTGGGGTGGATGGACCCAGGATTCACCAGTCGCCAAGCCAGGAGGGTGCGGGGGAGCCTCCCAACATGTTCCCCAGTGGATCTGGAAGTTGACTGGAAGTGTTTCTGATCCACTTCCAGGTCTGCTGCCAGTTGCACTGGGGAGGTCACCCATGCTTCTGTGGGATGCTCCATCCACCCCAGAATCTCATCATTCATGAGCTACCTGGTACCTAGAGGTATGTAGAATGAACATTTAAAGCTGTGTCTATGTCCAAATCACTGAATCTTTCTGAATCTCTCTGAATCGATTTGGAGGGTTCTGATTTGATTTGGAGAGATTAAAGGGTCTCCTGATTTGATTCAGATTTGGAGATTTGGCCACCAAATTGGGCCAAATCTCTGCTGAATCGAACCAGGTACCAAAGCTTCACACAGCCCTAATAGAAACTTCTCAGCATTAGCT